TTTCCCTGCTCCTTCCTTTCCCTTCTCCTCATCTTTCAAAAGGCAGCTGATGAATATCATGAATGGCTCAGTCCCACTGCTGTGGTTGTGCCCTGTTCTGTGACTGGGTACTGTTCTGAGCCCTGAGGTGCTGTGTGACTATGAGTCTGACTTAGCCTGTGTTTGAGGTGGCCAGAGAACAAAGAGCTGTTGACAGTGGAGTGGTGTGAAAAAGTCATGTTAACTAATGAACCCAGACTGATAGCTGTGGATGATGAACAAGGACCATATTCTGTGTTTGGCTTTTCATATGACTTTCAGATACAGCTGCTGAGGGAAGGATTACTTGCAAATGTGCAACTAAAGCGGTAAAGTTATTCTGCTGCTGCCAGAAGTAATCATGGGTTAGTGGTGCTCTGCCTTCATTAGTGTAACGAATCACCGTTAGTGACTAGATCTCCTGCCGGTGTAAATCGTGGGTTACACTAATGAAGTCGTTAGAGTGAGACACATTTTTTACAAAAAAAAAAGTGATTAATCTTGGAAAAAAATAGAGTGGGAAGTAGTAATTTTTCATCACTCAGTGTCTTGAGACAAAGATGAAGTATTTTTTCTTAAGAGTTGTCTTAGTCAAATAAGTAATAGGACTCGTTGTGGGGATACTTGGGAGAGATCTAGTGGCTTCATTAAGACCAACTACATGATCTAGTGAGCTGTTCTCACCTTAAAATCTATGCATAGCTGGCTTGTATATAATACAGCGAGGCCAGAATCCAGTTCAGTCTATCATTAGAAATTACTGTTTATTTATTTGCAATGTCATAACTTTTTTTCTTTTTTTTAACAGGAAGACCATTGGTGTTTTCTGTTGTGGACCAAACAAAATCTCTAAGATACTTCATAAACTGAGCAACAGCAACAACTCTTATGGGACAAGGTTTGAGTATAATAAAGAATCCTTCAGCTGAAAGTCTGTTGGACTAGCAAGACTCTCTAGAAGATAAAAGTGCAATTTTTTGTTTGTACAACTTAAAAGTTCAGCTGTGGTTTAAACAGACAGAAATGTACCAAAGAATAGCACAAATTTTCTTATTTATGATTATTTAAGACTGGAAAATGATGGATGCAGCAGTATACCAACAAATAATAAGTGCTTATGCTCAAAGCCAAATGTTCTCACACAATATTTGTGGCAGTGGTGATTCTTTGGAGTTGTTTCTGGTAATTAAAAAGTACAGAAGCTGGGGAGAGACACAGTTGCTTTAAAAGCTGATGGAAGAACGATCTGTGGAGTGTTTGAACTTCTTCCACATCAGTCTTCTAAAGCTGGATCAGTAAACCAAACCCCAGGTTAATCCAAATGACAAAACACAGTGCATTACAAAGACCTATTGCTTTTGTTGGTATACAAATCTCATCATGGCTTTGGGGTGGAAACACTCCATAGTAAAGGTTTTATTCACTGCGGAACAGGATTCTGTATTTAAAGTATAGTGTTACTCTTGCTAGTCTGCTTCTGTGGTGGATGTGATTATTCCCACCCTGGATGGAAGACAGGGTGGAATATGGGGAAAGATATAAGTTAGCCTATGGAAAAGTGAGTTCAACTGTGTAGCACCTGTGGGCAGACTCTGCCGTGATGTAAATCACAGCCTTTTGGCAAGCAAACAGCTGCATGTGGAGAACTCTCTATCTTACATCGATTCAGCATTCAGTGAGTTTGCAAAATAAGTGTGATTTATGCAGCCAGAAAGATGAAGCAAGAAAAGCGATTAACAGGAGCAGACAGGGTATGATGTTTTATTATACTGCACGCTCAATGTGGAAGTTGCACTCATTCTGCACTCACATGCCTTGAATGTCAAGTACTTCAAGCACTCAGGTGCTCTTACTGATTATTTTACAATGCGGCAGGTTGAAATACAATTTTAGAGGTCACTGAATATGTTTGGATGACCATGATCTTTTGAGTACCTTCCCTGGAGTCACACTTGTTTGCACTGATGTCACTGGGAGCAGGATCAGGCCATATCTCCAGCGGTGTAAGAATGAAGCCCTCATTAGTGGGGCTCTTTGCATCATGTGTGCAGACAGAAACTTTGCAGGATCTGTCTGTTTCAGTATATATCCAAATTTAAGCCTTCCTTCCCTTCTCCTCCTCACAGCTGTTCTCCTCTTTGCTCATAGTTGCCATGGAAGGGCTAGAGGTTGAAACAGGCACTTTACAACTTTTTGGTTCTTAGGAGCAACTTTTTCTTCTTCCAGCTGATCCATCAAGCCTTTCTTCTTTGCCCCCTTTTCCTGATTTTGATGAGGGCATTTAAGCAGGAGTCAGACACTTAGCTGACATAATTAGGTATCACTCCAGTGCATCTTAATAGAGCTGCATCACTTTACACATGCCGAGAACCTGCCCCTGAATGTGCAGCTTGGGAGCAGCACCCTGTAGTGTTTGCAGCACACATGGACGTCAGGTGGCTCAGCATCTCTTGTGCCTGTGGTTCACCTGTATTTAGCACAGCACATTTGATTTCCACATCTTGATCCGCACATCTTTCCAGTGAAGACCTTTTTTGTTTTAGCAGGAAAGACACTAATTTACGGCTTGCAACACAAACTCTGTCCAGGGGTCTACGAGTATCACTATCAGTGTTCAGAGACAAGGGTTTTTCTAGTAGGTGGTGTATAGACCTGTTGTATGTGTAACTAGGGAAAATGAGTTTGGTCTTTGCCTTGGCAGCTCCTGCTCAGGAGTTGCCCTGAGAGCAGCAGGGTGGAGGTGTATCAGCGAAGCCACATGGGGACGTGTTCCTCAAGGTCTGGACTTTGCACTGAAGTTTTTATGTCTGGCTTTGCCCAATTTGAAATTCAGGGGAGAAGAAAAGAGCCAGAGATGGACATATTCCTACTGATAAGAATTCTCAAAGTAGCCTAGAGGAGAGAAGCCAAAACAGAAATACAATGTGAGATGGAAGCCTCCATTGCAGCTACTGATTTTAATTTTTGTTTTGAGGCTGCAAGGATCATTATTTTCCCATTGGATCTTGCTCATCCATCACTGTAAAAACAGAGGTATGCAGCAAAGGATTATATCCTTTGTAATCATTAAGATTTATTTTTAATAATGCCTGCATGGGTTTTATAATAAACATAACACTGATGGCAAAATGCATAGATATTGGATATTGCTGATACTGCAGGCTTTTTCGTTTGCTGGCAGTTAGCTGAAAGCATGATTGAAATCATGACTGCATTCATTAACCACAACCAGACAGTAATCTTTTTCCTCTTGTTTTAGTATCTAGTATCTCATTGTTTTTAAATACAGTTTAAAGTCATCTAATCATGATGTTGTTTGTGGTTTCATATCTCCTCTCTGATAGATATCTGTTCCATTACCATATAATGAGCAGCTAGTTTTGTAGTTAGCTCTGTGCTAAAACAGATTATATTTTCTGGCTCAGCTCCTATATAGGTAGCGCTTTATAATTAAAATAATGATACTAGTACTGTGCTCTTGTTCTGCATTGTAGCAGGAGCTGACGCTGTGTGTAGGCATGTTAAATGCCTGTTGTTCCATTAGGCAGTGCTGTCAGAGCAAGATGCAAGCAGAGCCAGGGTCTCCTCTTCCTGCCTTTGTCCTTTACCAACCTCAGGTGACCCACTTGTAAGACAGACTTGGGACTATCTACCTTTCTGGAGTGTTGTGAGGCTTAATTAATGTTTCAGGATCACTTCAGTGCACCTGCAGTGAAAAGATCTGCCTAATTGCTATTCAACTGTATTTGTGTTTTATTTTGTGTAAAGCTTTGCCTGCCCAAACCTCTCTGTTGGCGATGAGTAATTGCTAGACCAAATGAGGGTGAGTTTGGGGAAAGACTAAAAGCCTCAGTTGCTTTTTTCCTTTTCCTTGAGCTATGCTTTTTTTAGAGGAGCAAAACGTTTAAGGCTTAGAAACTGTGGCTTGGCTTCAGGAGTGGCACGTGTTACGAAAAACATGGACTTTCTGCAGGCTGCGTTGTCCTTGCTGCTTCTGGGTGGGGGTCTCCAGCTTGCAAAACTGAGACAAGCACTCTTTTAAACTCCATAGCTGTTTTATCTGTAAGCCAAGCGTACGTGAAGGTGCCAGACAAGTAAGTGAAGGCTGACAGCACTTAATTCCACATTTACAGATCAACCGGATTTATGTAACTGAGTCTCTCTTTACGCTTTAAACTGTGTCCTGTAAGAGGGTCTGCCATAAGCGTCTTGTTGGCAGGGAAAGGATCCCACCGTGTATTCTGCTGCTTCTTGCTCAGTCTGTCACAAAACTGCAGGCGCCTCAGTGTTTGCTCTGTGGGATCTTAGTGTTTTATTCATCATGAATGTTTCAGGACTTTAAAAGGGGAGTGTTTCATGTCATGGTGGGAACCAACCCCTTTCCCTGCAGTGGGTGTCCAGCCCTCATCCAGCAGTGTGAGACTTGGGGCTTGACACAGCTCACAGCTGGATTAATCGGATTTTCCCAAGAAATCCTATTCCCATAGCACTGAGAATACTTGCATGAGTAAATGTTTGCTGCTGTAGCAAAGGGCTGTGGGGGTGAGCCCTGCTGGAGCGTGGGAAGTCCTGAGGAGGAGTGACCTTCACTTCTGAAGTCTGAAGGACAGCCCGTCCATCCACAGTGATTATTCCAGTCCTGAGTTTGGAGCAACATATGGTACTAATAGCATGTGAATTCTTCCTTGGTCTTTTATCTGCTCTTCTAGGAGACAGGACTGAAAGGAGTATGAGAGATCACTATGCACAACCTTGATCCTGAGCTGGGGAGAGGACACCAGTGTGGACCGCAGACTGATGACTGCACTGCTTAGGGTAGAAAGTTTAAGCCAAATCCATTTTTCTGCAAAACGCTGATTGTTTTGCCACAACAGACTAGAGAACAGTTGCTGTAAAGGCAAAAGAGATAAACCCTCCCTCTGTTTGAAGACTCCAGCCCACACAAGCCCGATGTGAAGATGTGTATGAAAGCATTGCACATATTCAGCTCCACACGCTGCATCCCTATCATGGGCTTACTCGCTCAGCACTGCATCCCCATCATTTTCCATGGTTGCAGATCTTCACCTATCTTGTTAGCAGATGTAATACTCCATATGCCTGCATCCATGCACAGAGTTTGATATAAATATGGCGCAGCCTGTGAATGTGCCTTACAGCCAGTGTAGGTAAGTGCAGTCATCCCTTTGCTTCTAATGCTTCTTGCACATAGGTGAGAGAGCGATCTGGAGCTGTCTGAGAAGGGGCAGATATTACAAATGGCAGACCAGCCACTTTGGGAACAATAATTCAGCTATAACAGCCTAACAGAGCAGAGGAGTAATGGTTTGGTAAGAAATTTGGTTTTAGAACAGCTGCCTAAGAGAAAAGCCTCTATCGACACTAACACACCAGTTTCAAACTACAAGATGTTGCTTAGAGAAGCAGGCAGGAGGCTAAGTAGTCCTTGCCTATACCAGTTCAAGCCCCATAAGTCAGAGAAGAGACATTGTTATTAATATGCAATGTTTACTTGTTTGAAAAATAAAAGGGCTTCTAGGGAGATTAATTTTCACTGCAGCCTGGCGATCATTTCATAAACATGCCAGCATGATTTAAGACAAGCTGGGTCTGTTCTTCTCTGGATTATGCATCTGGTTTGTTTGCAAATTTCCCACTCCTCACAAATAAAAACAGTTTTTATTGTTTTAGCAAAGAGGATTCATCAGCAAGGTTTGATCAAAATTCCACTGGTGCCCGTGCTGAACTGAGCTTTTCTGCGTTAAATGTACATTTTTCAGGGATATATAGAATACAGTTGAGGACTCAGCTGTGAACAGTGGTTTGGGGCTTGCGTTGTCTCTGCTGCTGGTGTGTTTCATTAAGGCCACTATTGTGATGCACTGGTGAAACACACAGAGCTGAACTGAGGCTCTTCATTCCTATGAAGACCCTCCTCTTTTATATTCTGTACTAAGGCTAGTAAATCCCTGAAACTGGAATTTGTTTTGTAGGTGCCATAGGTTAATTAGCCAACATCTTTTACAGTTGAACCGTGAGTCTTCTGCTGGACTGACAGTTATAACAAATGCTACTACACAAAGTTTTTGAGCAACAAATACTGCTCCTTAAAGGGCTGGATGGGGATTTTTCAAGGTTTAGTATCCTTCTGGTTTTATCACCCATGTTGTGAGAGGTATAGGATCTGTTTTGGTACAATGGAATTCTTCAGAAGGACCATATTTGTAAGAGACAGCTGCTGTAGCTGTACTAACAGCAATGGATCTGTCCCATTATTGGAGAGGCATGGAGCTGGAGAAAGCCACTCATCCCAATTGTAGATTGCCTCTTAAAAATCTCTTGGATTTCTGAGGATATCAGACCTTGCAAAAAATATTTAGGTGCTGTCTGCTTCTTCCTGGC